TATGTGTATGAGTATATTGCCTGCATGTATGTGAGTGCACCTGTGTCGTGCAATGCTGAGGAGGTCAGAAGAGGGCTTCAGAGTCCCCTGAAACTGGAGTTAAGGATGGTTTGTAACCGCCATGTGGGTGTTGGGAATCAAACCCGGGTCCTCTAGAAGAGCAATCAGTGCTTTTAACTGGGGAGCCATCTCTCCAGCACCTCCACCCCCAAAAATCTTAAAGGCAACAATAAGAATTGATGAATCAGGTGTGAGATCACACACCTATAATCCCCACACTCAGGAGGGAGGTGGAAGCAGGAGGATTAGGAATTCAAAGCCAGCCTCAGCAACGCGGTAAACTGGAGGCTAGCCTAGGTTACATTAAGACCTGTCTCACAAGACCAAAATGAAAAAAAAAAAAATTAGAAACAGCCTAAATATCCATTTAGGAATAAATATGTTCTTATAAATGTAGTACACAGATTAAATGGAAATTTATCCAATCTGGAAAGAAAACCAGGAATGGTGAGGTACACCTTTGATCCCAGCACTCATGAGCCATAGGAAGGCAGAGCTCTGTGATGTCAAGGCCAGCCTGGTCTACATAGGGAGTTCAAGGCTAGCCAGTGCTACATACATTTGAAAAACAAAAAGGAAGCAGGCTAGGTATAGTGTATACAGCTGTGATCCTAGCACTAGAGAAGCAGAAGCAAGATTTAAGTTTGAGGCCAGCCTGGGCTACACAGTAAAACCCTACCTCAAAAAGAAAAACTTAAAATTCTCTAGCTGACAATACAATGAGTGATGATTAGTGTTAACTATCAACTTGATAGAACCTAGACTCACCTGGAAGAAGGCTCTCTGGTGGGGAATGATCCTGATTTCATTCACTGAGGCACGAAGATGCCTGTTCACTAGGAGTGGTACCATTCCCTGGCTGGAATCCTGGACTGTGTAAGTGGAGAAAGGAACATTCTTCACTCTCTCTCTGTCTTGACTATGGATGCAAAGTGACCAGCTGCTTGGAGACTGACACCTTGACTTCCCTGCTGTTATGGACTGTACCCTTGAACTGTGAGCCAAAATAAACCCTTTCTCCCTTAAGTTGCTTTTGTATTTTATCACAGCAACAAGAAAAGTAACTGAAACAGTACATGTCCCAGTAATCCAGAAAATTGTTTGAGTTACAACTTCTGATATTCATCCTGAAATGGAACATATGTTCAGTTTAATAAAAGAACCAATTCATATTATGCTATAAACAAGAAAAGATGTTACAGACTTTGTAGAAAGGATGCTGAGTCAAATTATTCTTTAGTAAGAACTTTATTAGGAAAAAAAGAGCCATCAAAGATAGGGTGATAGAGGTCCTAATGGGAAAGGGCCTTCCATTCCCTTATGTTCTGAAGTATTAGGAGAGTTAAAGCATCATATTATAGGCAGCATGGTGGGGCCCTAATGGGAGACAGAATTCCTTTAGTTCCTGAGTTATTAGAAGAGCGCACCATTATGAACTTCCTGGTTGAGGTCCTGAAAGGAAAGAAACTTTAACTCCTTTCAGATCCAAAGAAACAAGGAGGTTATCCTGCTCTTACAGGTTTCTGGGGGTGGGATTCCACACCATGTGATTTGTCTATGTATTAGGAACCATAGGTAAAGACAAGAGACAAAAGTAAAGCTTTAATTCAAAGTTGTCTTGGGCCTGTGTTCTAGTTTCCTTTTCAATTGCTATGACAAAACACTGACCAATATCAACTTGAGGAGCAAAGAGTTTATTTGACTTACATTTCCCAGGTCACAGTTCATCAGGAAGCCCACGGTAGGAACTCAGGGCAGGAACCTGGAGGCAAAAGCTGGAGCACAGGCCACGGAGGAATCCTGCTTACTGGCTCGCTCCCCTGCTCTGTGTTCAGCCTGCTTTCTTATAGAATACAGAATGACCTGCCCAGGGGTGGTACCACCCACAGTTGGCTGGAACCTCCCGTACCACTCAACAATCAAGAAAATGCCCCACAGATGTGGCCACAGGTCAGTCCAATGGAGGTAATTCTCCAATTGAGGCTCCCTCTGCCCAAGTGTGTCAAGTTGACAACCAATGCTATCCAGCACAATGACCACTTGTCAACTTGACACATAAACACATCACTACTAAACCATAACCTTTCCATTTCTTGCCCATAAGACATGATGTTAACAATATCACAATGTAAAACAGTACAACCTTAAAAGTCCCGAAAAACTCAAATACTTAATTTTAAAAATCTCGAAATTAGCCGGGCGTGGTGGTGCATGCCTTTAATCTCAGCACTAGGGAGACAGAGGCAGGCGGATCTCTGTGAGTTCAAGGCCTGCCTGGTCTACGAAGTGAGTTCCCGGACAGCTGGGGCTACAGGGAGACCCTGTCTCAAAAAGACCAAAAAAAAAAATCTCGAAATTGTGGGCTCCTGTAAAATCCAACACAAGTACTGTCTTATTTCAAAAGGGTTCTAAGAAGTTTGTACACCTAAGCAAAACCTAAGTCCAGTAAATAGCTCAAGACTGGACATTTAGGATTCACTCACAATCTTCTGGGCTCCAAAGGGTTTTAGCAGCTCCACTTCTCTGACTCTGCCGTCCACAGTACACACAGTTCATCTCACAGACCCAAGCTGGCTCCATTCCACACTTGCTGCTGCCCTTGGTGGTCGTCCCATGGTTCTGACATCTCCAAAAAGCTGGGGTCTCCACTGAAACTTAGGCTGCACCTTCACCGATGGCCTTGATCATGGTGTTTCTATCACAGCAACAGGAAAGTGACTAATACAGCCTGGGTACTGGGGCTAGGGTACAGGGGTACTGGGCTTACTGGTGAGAGGAAGGGACACTGCAAGGTGCTTTGCTTATCAACTCTATCTAGGCAGACTGCAGGGAGGTGTGGCCTGATGTGTGTGTGTGTGTGTGTGTGTGTGTGTGTGTGTTTGTGTGTGTGTGTGTTTGTGTGTGTGAGAGAGAGAGAGAGAGAAGAGGAAGAAGCTGCTGCCACTAGTGAACTAGTGAGTCTGTGATCTAACACATAAAACCATCCCAGCTGCAGAAATAACTAATTTTGAAGTAGTTAAGCTTATAATTTAACATCAGTTCACTCATTTACTCACTAATTCATTCATTCATTCATCTACTCAAATACTTGTGGTATATAAGCTCTATAATAAAAAATCCAGAGGATTAAAAAAAGAAGGTGCTAGGAGAGTGGCTCAGAAGCATGGCACTTACCTAGTGTATCAGTCTGTCTTGCTGCTTCCACAAAATACTGAACAACGTTAACTTAAGGAAGAAAGGGTGTATCACAGTTCCAAGGGTGTATCCACAGTTCCAGTCCATCATAGTGGGAAGTCATGACACCAGAGCTTGAAGCAGCAGGTCACACTGCATCCATGGTCAAGAAACAGAACAGGACTGGGGAGATGGCTACAGTTAAGAGCACTGGCTGCTCTTGCAGAGGACCCAGGTTCAGCTCCCAGCACCCACATGGTGGCTAACAACCTTCTGTAACTGACAGTTCCAGGAGATCTGATGCCCTCTTCATGGGCATTTCATGCATGAGGTGCACTTACATACATGCAAGCAAAACAGACACATTAAAAAAAGAAAAAAATTTTTTAAAAAGAAAAGAAAGAAACAGAGCAATAAATGCTGGGCCTCAGATAGCTTTCCCCTTTTTATTCAGTCCAGGACCTCAGCCATGAGATGGCACTGACAACATTTCGGGTGAGTCTTTGCACCTCAATCACCTCAGTAAACCTCATCTAGAAACTTCCTCACAGTCCTGCTCAGAGGTTTGTTTCCATGGTGATTCTAAATCCCATAAAGTTAACCATCAAGATTAACCATAACACCTCACATGCTCTGTTTGATTCTCAGCACCCGAGAAGGGGAAGCAACTACAAAGCAAGCATTTCCTGCCCTTGAGGAACTGACAATTCTATGAGCAAACACGTTCATAAATGAATTCTGTCATATTGTCACGTTAACAGCTAAGTAAGATCGACATGAGGACTATCTGACGGAAGGAGATGGAGAGTCTCTGAGAAAAAGCACGTGAACCCAACCCAAGAAGGATTTGGCCAGGATGAGATGCAGTGATGACAGAAGGGGAGGCCTGAGCATAGTAACCACAGCCTCACCTAGTCTTGTCTTCCAAATGCATTTAGCACGTTCCAGGAATTAACAGAGCTCAATACCGAGAGCAGGGCTGGAAAGATGGCTCAGTAAGTTAAGGCACTTGTCACTAAGCCTGATGACCTGAGTTCAATCCCCAGGACTCCTATGATGGAAGGAGAGAACTGACTCTGCAAATTGCCCTCTGGCTTCCATAAGTGCAGTGGCACCCACACTCTGCACAAATCCACACACCCACAATACAGAGCATCCAACAGGGATGTATCAGGGGAGAAGGATGGAAAGGCGGAAATGCATCTCCTAAACAGTCTGCCTTGAAGAGGAAGTTCAGAAATTTAGACTTCAAGTTCTCAGAGGGAAGCATCTCAGCTGTACCTGCAATGTATTTAGCCAGCCATCTGCAAATGGACACGTGTTACCCCTGAGTCCTGGTTCTATACATAAAGCTACTGTGAACACTCATATACAAATCTGCTTCCTTGCTTTCTTTCCTCATGGGTGTGTATTTAGGAGTAGAATGGCTAGATGTAAGAGATGAATGCGACAGTCTTAAGAAACTGCTTTCCAAAATGGTTGTTCCAAAGGGACAGGGAAGAAAAGGAGAGAGGAAAGGAAGAGGGAAGAAAGGGTGAAAATGAGTAAAGCGCATCATAATGGAACTCGCTATTTTCTATGCTTACTTACAAAATGGAAAAAAAAAGTGGTTGAGCCATTTTACATTCTCACCAGTACCACATCAAAGTTCCAATACCTTCATCCTCATCAACACCAGTACAGTCAGGTTTTTTATGCATGCTTATAGGCATATAATGGTAGCTCATTGCGGGTTTTTTGGCTTTTTAAAAAAATAGCTTATGGGCTCTCTGCTCCTCCCCGTTCTAGAGACAGCCGCATCTTCTAGCGCAGTGCCAGCCTAGTCCCTGAGACACCATGGTGAAGGTCGGAGTGAACGGATTTGGCCGTATCGGGCGCCTGGTTACCAGGGCTGCCTTCACCTCTGGCAAAGTGGATATTGTTGCAATCAATGACCCTTTCATTGACCTCAACTACATGGTCTACATGTTCCAGTATGATTCCACCCATGGCAAGTTCAATGGTACAGTTAAGGCTGAGAATGGGAAACTTGTCATCAATGGGAAGGCCATCTCCATCTTCCAGGAGCGAGATCCCGCCAATATCAAATGGGGTGATGCTGGTGCTGAGTATGTTGTGGAGTCTACTGGGGTCTTCACTACCATGGAGAAGGCTGGGGCCCACTTGAAGGGTGGAGCCAAAAGGGTCATCATCTCTGCCCCTTCTGCTGATGCCCCCATGTTTGTGATGGGTGTGAACCATGAGAAATATGACAACTCCCTCAAGATTGTCAGCAACGCCTCCTGCACCACCAACTGCTTAGCCCCCCTGGCCAAGGTTATCCATGACAACTTCGGCATTGTTGAGGGACTCATGACCACAGTTCATGCCATCACAGCTACCCAGAAGACTGTGGACGGCCCCTCTGGGAAACTATGGCGTGATGGACGTGGGGCTGCCCAGAACATCATCCCTGCATCCACTGGGGCTGCCAAGGCTGTGGGCAAGGTCATCCCAGAACTGAATGGGAAACTCACTGGCATGGCCTTCCGTGTTCCTACACCCAATGTGTCTGTCGTGGATCTGACCTGCCGCCTGGAGAAAGCTGCTAAGTATGATGACATCAAGAAGGTGGTGAAGCAGGCATCCGAGGGCCCCCTAAAGGGCATCCTGGGCTATACTGAGGACCAGGTCGTCTCCTGCGACTTCAACAGTGATACCCACTCTTCTACTTTTGATGCTGGAGCTGGCATTGCCCTCAACGACCACTTTGTCAAGCTCATTTCCTGGTATGACAACGAATTTGGCTACAGCAACAGGGTGGTGGACCTCATGGTCCACATGGCCTCCAAGGAGTAAGAAGCCCTAACAACCACTGACCCCAGCAAGAGGAAGGGAGAGACCCTCAGCTGGGGGGGGTCCCCTGCCCTAACTCAGCCCCGAACACTGAGCATCTTCCTTCAGTTTCCATCCTAGACCCCCTGAAGAAGGGGAGGGGCTTAGGGCACCCTACTCTCTTGAATACCATCAATAAAGTTCACTGCACCCACCCAAAAAAAAAAAAATAGCTTATGCATATGAGCGTATTGCCTGTATGTAAGTGTACCTATGTCGTGCAATGCCCATGCAAGTCAGAAGAGGGCATTGGATCCCCTGGAACTGGAGTTACAAGTGGTTGTTAGCCACCATGTGGGTGCTGGGAATCTAACCTGGGTCCTCTGCAAGAGCAGTCAGTGCTCTTAACTGCTGAGCCATCTCTCCAGCCCTGACTATGTTTTTTGTTGTTGTTGTTTGAGACAAGGTCTCTAGCTAGATCCAGCTGGCCCAGGGCTCACTATGTACATGAGGCTGGCCTCCATCTCACAGAGAGCCACCTGCCTCTGCCTCCCAAGTGCTGGGATTAAAGGCATACATCACCACACCTAGCAATTCACTACAAACCTCATCATAACGGAGAGTAGAGAGTAATCATCACACTTCAGTTTTTTTGTTTGTTTGTTTGTTTTTTTATGTGTATGAGTGCAACACCTGAATGTAGGTAGGTGCACCCATGTCATACAATGCCTGCAGAGGCCAGAAGACGGTGTCAGATCCCTGGAACTGGAGTTACAGACAATTGTTAGCTGCCATGTGGGTGCTGGGAATTGAACCCAGGTCCTCTGCAAAAAAGCAGTCAGTGCTCTTAACTGCTGAGCCACCTCTCCAGCTCCAATGCCTCATTTTTAAAATTGAACTTTCTTAGCCGGGTGTAGTGGAGTACACCTTTATTCCCAGCACTACAGGAGGCAAAGGGAGGCAGATCTCTGTGAGTTCCAGGCCTGGGACTCACTATGTAGACCAGGCTGGCCTTGAACTCATGGAGATCCACCTGCCTCTGCCTCCCGAATGCTGAGAATAAAGGTATGTGCCACCAGGCCTGGCACTTCTGTTTTCTTCTAAAAGCATTATACCTTCAAAACTTTACACTTGGGACTACAACCCATCTCAGGGAGCATTTTGAACAGTTCTAGGGTCATGTTGGTTTCTCACACAGTCAAAGGGAGGGTTCAACCAGCCACAGGTGAGCAAGGCTCCTACACCACACCAGAAGCATATATCCTACCATCAAAGCCCCAATTCATATGGCTTCATATGTCCTAAGAGGACAAACAACTGTTAGTATCTACATAGACATTTACTTAGCTTTCATTTCAAAATACCAAAGCCTGTAAGAAGAGCTTCAACAGTACACCGGTTATATCCCTCCTTACTTCTCTTACATCTGACGATCTCCTTAAGGGCTCCCAATCCATTCTATCTTCTGGTGTGTTTGTGTCAGTGCATTTAAATATTGAATTAGGTATTTTATTATAAACTCATTTCCTCTCACTTTTCCTTTATAATTCAATTAAGGCATTAAATTAGTTTTTTATCTTGTGTGTGTAGTTGTTATATTCGCATACATTAGCAACCTGAGATTAAAAAACACTGACTTGAGTGAAGAAAGAAACAGAATATCTATAACAATACTATTTACATATTAAAATATTACCATTATACACTAAAACTTGTAGAAACCTACACACAGTTTCCACATTTTAAGGAATACACAGGAAAGGGAACACACTGCACATGTTAGAACGACTGCCTAAGGGAAGGCGGAAATGGCAGCAGGGAATGTGGCAAGAGGGGAAACAGTAACATGTCAGCAGAGGAGTCTGGCACAGATGAGGGGATGTATGCCATGTTCTGCAATCCCCTGCCTGAGGCCTGCTAACAAAGCACAGACACCTCTTGACTTACCGGGTTATAGCTCAGTACCTGTGAGTTGAGAATAACGTAAGTAGAAAATGAATTCAGTGTACTTAACCTACAAATACCATAGCTTGACAACACGGCACACTATGGAGTGGCTTCCCTGCTGATCATCTGGATAACTGGGAACTTCAGGTCACAGCTGCTGCCCAATAACAGAAGAGAGAACTCTATCCCAGCAAAGATCAAAATTCAAACTTCCAAGCATAATTTCCACTAAATGCATACTGCTTTTACACCATGGTGAAGTTGAAAAATCATAATTGAATTATGATAGGTTGGGCTATAATACATCTTAAAAATTATATTTTCTTGCAGGGCATACCTTTAGTCCCAGCACTCGGAAGGCAGAGGCAGGCAGATCTCTGTGAGTTCAAGGCCAGCCTGGTCTACATAGTTTCAGGCCAGCTGGGGCTACATGGGGGACCATGTCTCAAAAAGACCCCCCCCCAAAAAATGTATTTCTTACTAGGCATGGCAGCACACACCCATCATCCCAGGAGTTGGGATGGAGAAGCAGGGAAGATCAGGAGTTCAAGGCCAGCCTCAGCCACATAATAAGTTTGAGGCCAGCAAAGGCTACATAAGACCTTATCTCAACCCAATCACCCACACACACACAAAAAAAAGTATGTTCTTGTTATTTATACCTCAAGAAGCTATTAAAGGGCTGGGGATGTAGCTCAGTGGTAGAACAATTACTTATCATGCACCAGTACTGGATTTGAACCTTGACACTAAAAAATATGTATATTTAAATTATAGATATATATGCGGCAAAGACATACAAGAACCCCGGAAACATATATAATTATATAATAAATACATTTTTATACATATGTTGATGTATATATACATATGCATAAAGGATATGTGTTCCTTTAGTCACAGGCACTTTATCATACGCACCTAGCACTGGGACTGGCCCAGAGTAGGTACACAACACACAAGTAGAAAGTCAGGGACAGGGAGACTCATAGGCACTAGTATGATCTTGCAGAAAAAAATATGTGGGGAGACACATATGCAACTGGACAGAACGGAACTGCATTCTATAAAGAGCTAATAAATTAATAATAACAAATTATACACCCAGGAAGGCGAAGAGCAGACAGCAGTACCCTCAGAGCAGGAGAATTCAGGCATTTGCTCCTGTAATAGTCCCAGTGTAGGCGCTGGAGAGATGGTGCAGCGGTTAGGAGCACTTGCTGCTCTTGCAGAGGATCCAGGGTTCAGTTCCCAGCACCCACATGGCGGCTAACAACCACCTGTAACTCCAGTTCTAAGGGATCCAATGCCTCTTCTGACCTCTATGGGCATTCCACAACATGGATGCACTTACAAACATACAAACTAGAAATAATACATAAAATGTTTTAAAATTTTCCACTGTGGCCGGGCGTGGTGGTGCACGCCTTTAATCCCAGCACTCAGGAGGCAGAGGCAGGCAGATCTCTGTGAGCTCAAGGCCAGCCTGGTCTACATAGTGAGTTCCAGGGCAGCTGGGGCTACAGAGAGACCCTGTCTCAAAAAGA